AACTGGAGTTATGGACAGTTGTTAGCTGCCATGTGGGTGCTGGGATTCAAACCTGGGTCTTCGGCAAGAACAACCAGTGTTCTTGACCGCTGAGCCATCTCTCCAGCCCAAACAGTTTCTTTTATTTACTTATTTATTTTTTAAAATATTTTATTTATTACTAGCCCTCAAAATTGGTGGCTCTACATCAGTATCCCACTGCTGGAAATCCAGGCGTGTGCTACCATGCTGGTTCTGTTCTTGGTTCAGAGTTCTGTCTTTGTTCTATACTTTTTTTCAGTGTACACTCTGCAGTCTCTTACTCTCTACACTTTGGCCAGCAGTGGCCTTCTGTGTTTATGGCCTTCTGTTGCATGAGGAAGCTACCTTTGAGAATTGAGAGATGCATTAATATCCTCTCCACCCTGTCTTCCACTCTGTTCCATGAACCTTAGGTGTAGGGTTTTGTTACTGATGTGTCACTTAGGGTTGGGCCTCCCACAGACAGTTATTCTCTGTGACCAGTTGTGGAACTTTGTACTAGATTCTATCTGTTGCAAAAGAAGCTTTGATGAGTGCTGGCTGACATACTTGTCTGTGCATATAAGGATCCATATTTTGGCATATAGTTAAGAAATTATGATTGTCATGGGGCTGGAGAGATGGCTCAGTGGTTAAGAGCACTGACTGCTCTTGCAGAGGACCCAGGTTCAGTTCCCAGCACCCATACAGCACCCAACACCTGTTAACTCCAGTTCCAGGGGATCCGACGCCCTCTTCTGATCTCTGTAGGCATTGCATGACATGGGTGCACTTACATACATGCAGGTAATACACTCATACACATAAAATAAAAATAATAAACACCAAACTTTGAAGGGAAGCTTGTGTTATATAGATCGTAGCTAAAGAAATTTTTTAATATATACAAATTGCAAAGAATGACAAGAAGGTCCGTATGCTCACTCAGTAGGCAGGCTGCCTGCTAGCCTGCCAAGTTGGATACCCGGGAACAACACAGTAGGAGAGAGAACAGATTCTCACAGTAGCATGCAGGCACCCCCTCCCCCGCCCCAAATAATGAAAGACAAAAAATTTAAATTATATGATGAAAGCATCACATTACTTATTAAACAGCACCATTAATGCAATAGTAAGCTCCAAGAGCAGAGCTCTTACAGGCCAGGAGAAAATGAGATGGTATATTCAAAGTGCCAAGAAATATTTCCAAACAGTATCCTACCCAGAGCAACTTTAAGAAAGAGAAATGACAGTTTTCCAATGTAGTAAGTGAAAACATTCATTACCCTCAGCCTGATCTGACAGGAAACGATTCAGTAGTCCCACCCTAAGAATCCACAGGATACTATCATGAACACACATGAACAGACAGAACTCATGTGCAGAGAAGCTGAGAAAAGAAACTGAAGACCACGTACTCTCATCAGTAAAGGAAATCACCAAACAGCAAAGATTTCTAGAAAAACAGAAAGGCACAGAGGCTATGATGAAACACACAGCAACTACGAAACCCTAACCGAGTAGCATTTTGACAAGAATATTACCTTGACTAATGGATCGTATCCTCCAACTGAAATGAAGGACTAATGAATGCAGGACTGACAAACTGATGGAGCCAAAGTCACTGCACCAGTGAGCACAGACAAATCTTGAAGACGAAAGGGTGAAAATCCATGCAGTGCTCAACCCTGAACACCATGCAGAGCTCAACCCTGAACAGCACTCGTTATACTTTAAAGTCGGCTCACGTAAACTTCAAGTATGAAAGGAGACAAGGGTGCGATCACAAATCAACTACTTTGTATACAATCATACTGTATACAAATATTATATAGCTGTATACCGTATACAGACATTTTACATATTTTACACAAATATACATAAGCATACTTACACATACACAAAATGCTGGAGGACCCAATTATATGATGAAAACATTATGAGACATAAAAGCAGAGGTGAGGTGCCTGACTAGCCAGGTAGGTCAGGCAGGAAACTCTTAAAAGGAGAGTGATTCTAAAACATTGTTGCAGATTTCAGCAAGGAGCTTTCACTAAGTGACAGGTCAGCCAACAAAAAGTGAAATAACATTGGGGTTAAATCATACTTAGACAAAAATGGCTTAACAGATGGTACAGAATATTCCATGCAAAAGCTGAAGAATACATACTTTCCTCAGCTACATAATGCAGACTATCAGAACAGCTCAAATGTTAGAACACAAAAGAAGCCCCACATATTGTAAACAACAATTGAAGCCTGCTCTGTCTCCACAGGGATGGCGTGGTTGTGCACACACACATGTAGACGACAGGTGTGGTTTTGCAGGTCTGGACCCAGTCTTGCAGAGGCAGAGAAAGGCCGAGCAGAGAGATGGCGGGATAGCAGGCCCAACTGTAACAGGCAAGTTTCAGGTTAACAGAGACCCTGAATCAATCAGGTGGCAAATAACAGGAAAACAGACAACTGCCTTTGGCCTCAACATGCACTCACACCTGCACACATGTGCAAACTCCGCTATATACAGATACAACCACACCCACAAAGTCAGGGCTTAACAACTATACAAACACACTGAAAGCAAACATGTGCTGAATGATGGCTTCCCAAGAAGCAGCGGCAGCAGCTTTCCAGTGCGCTGTAAAAAATAAAAATTAAAGCAGCACATGCCAAACCGAGGGGCACGTGAGCAGAACAGTGGAAGGGAAGTGGTGAGCTCGGCGAGCTCCTACACGGAGGACACAGAGAAGAGACGGGAGTAACCACCAAAGGCACAAGGGGCACGCATGCAGCGCCGGAAGGGCGTGAGTGTTGGGATTTGACAGACACAAAGCAGAGCGAAGGGTTTTTGCTTTGAGACAGGGTCTCACCGTGTAGCACAGGCTAGACCTGAACCCACAGAGCTCCCCCTGCCTCTGCCTCTTCCACCATGTCCAGCCCGGGTTGCTTTTAAAAACTGCAAAAGCAACAAAACTTAAGCTTCTGGAAGCAGCTAGTAGGATGACGTGGCTGCTGTCCGTGCTGTCTCACTTTGTGTAGTGTGTACTCTACCCATCGAAAATGGGGCCAGAAAGAAACCCCTGGAGAGAAGCCTTTCACCGAGCCTAGTGTTGCACCACCAGAGGAGGCAGCACAGGAGGGTGGCTCCCAGCCAGCTCGCCAGCTCCGTGGGCAAGTGGCCTCCACTGACATTTCCAGAGACACAAACATGTAAGTATGCACTACCCCTAGCCATAACAGAAATTCAAGTCAAACCACAATGTGATCTCACAGCAACACAGTTTCAACGACCATCAAACGCACACGATTCCAAATGTTGACATAGACAGAGAAAGGGAAAGTTCCGGACAGTGTTGGTGGAGATGTAAGTAACAGGCACAATGCAAAACAGCATGGAGCTTATGAAAAACTAGAAGGTCAACCATCATACAGTGCCGTAAACCCCCTAGAAAGCAGACCGTTCCCAGGAAATCCACCTCCACCTCCATGTCTGAAGAGAATCTGTGCCCATCTACTGGAGCACCATGATAGGGAGTCAACCTAGGTGTCCCCCCACAGATGGACAGACAAGAAGACATGCTAAACAGAGAGAGGACCCAAGCTTTCTCTCACAGGAGCATGGATAAACTGCAGGGCCGTGCTACGTCAGGGAGGGAGGTCAGGTGCTAGGAGACCTAGACTGCATGTTTCAGTCACTTATACTTGGCCTGAAGGAAAAGACACAGCAGCGGTTCCTCGAGCTGGGAAGAGTGCGGGAGGGTTAAGAGCACTGAGCACATGCACGGGTGCGGTGGGTGGGCAGCATCACCACTCTTCTCCTGTGACAAAGCAAGACTACAGCTGCCAGCAGTGACTTCTACGTAGAAGAAAAGCTTTTAAGTGTTCTCAACACAAAGCAATGATAAAGCTAAATGATCATTACACACAGAGAAAACCTGCTTCATAAATATATACGGTTACCATATGTGAATCACTAAAACACAAATGGATTGTAGATATAGCTTGGTGGTGGGGCGCTTGCCTGGTCTGTGAGACTCAGTTCGGTCACTAGCACAGAAAGCAACCCTTGGAAGAGGCTCTGGATTTACCAACAAGGGATCTGCTTCCAGCTGGACACTGGAGACGCACTCACCCAAGGACACCAGGCTGCTGTAGGTCTCCAGCATCACGTCCCTGTACAGCGTCCTCTGAGCATCATCCAGGTCCTGCCACTCCTCCCAGCTGAAGTCCACAGACACATCCTCAAATGACACCAACTCCTGAAACGAGACATTTCTCCTCAGCCCAAGCCTTGGGCTTAGCATTCGACAGAAGCATGGAAGGACAATCCTCTGCATGACTGAGCTTTACAGAAGACGTACCTTATAGGCATTTGTTGAAAAGCAATTTCCTCCAAAGCTCCAAGCACCTTAGGGCTTGTTACTGAGGAAATTTTAAAGGGAAACTCCTTAAGACTCAGGAAGATGGGGTAAGCTGGCAAGGTGGTGCAAGCCTTTAATACCAGTGCTCAAGAGGCAGAGGCGGGCAGACCTCTGTGAATTCAAAGCCAGCCTGGTCTACATTTCCAGTTCTAAGTCAGGCAGAAGTGACACCCTGTCTTAAAAAAGGAGAGAGAAAAAAAAAGACAGACCCAGGAAGCAAACACCTGAGGCGCGTTTACTTCAGGAAGTCAAACCGACTAGGTCTAAAGGGCCACCCCTCACCAACGTTATAAAAGCAGTGGGCCGCTGAGGAGGCTGACTGGCCAAGCTGCCGAAGAGGCACAGACTGACTAAGCTGCCAGGAAAACACATTGTCTGACCCGTCAAGCTGGCTGAAAGTTACGCAGTGAGCTCTAGCGTTTCAGTTTCCATGAACCACGCATGCCAGTGTGGGTTTTGGGTGAGGCACCTGTCTTTGAGCTGTTTCTGCTCCTATAAGCAACCCCTAACCTACATGCCTATAAAGTAACTCAAATCAGCTCACTGGTTCCAAGCTGGACGTTGGTGTTATCCTTAACTGTAGTGTGCCATCCATTTCCTGTCTGGGATGACTAGGCACTTGTTCATATCTCCCAGGAAATCATGTCATACAACATTCTTCATAATAGAAGAAAAAAATCTACAAAACACCTTGGCTACATACTAACTAACTTGCTAATAATGAGTGACAAAGGCAAAAAACAATGTAAGTAATGTTCAAAGGTGCTCATATATGTCCTTCCTAAATCCAAAAGCTAGAACCAACATAGAAATAAACATAGAATCTGAAAAACCAATATATAAACAAAAGGACAATAGAAAACTTAGTTTATCACACCAACATTTTGAAAGTCATCCCATGAAAGGACAGTGGGAGCACGTGAGGCAGAGGCAGAGCGGTGGGTGGGGAAGGAAGGAGGATCAGGAGTTTGATGACAGCCTGATCCACGTGGGCCCTGTCGCAAGGAAACCAAACTCAAGCCCAACCAAACAAAAACATATTAAACTCTTCATGTATATGAGAACATTCACAGAGTAAGAAAAAGAACAAAGAGAGGGCTGGGGGTGTGGATCAGCTGGTAGAGTGCTTGCCTAACAAGTATGACATGGGTCCTCAGCACCAGGTAAAACTGAGTGTGATGTTACAAGTCTGTAAGTCCACAACTTGGGGTGTGGAGGCAGTAAGATCAGAAATTCAGGGTCATTCTCTGCTACAGCGAGTTTGAGGCAAGCAACCAGGACACATGAGAGCCCGTCTTTAAAGAAGGTACCCAGCAGACTGTAGAGTGCTTTCTGCTAGACTGAGGACCTGGGTTTAGTCTGTGGAACCCACATGGTGAACAGAGAGAACTGATTGCTGCAAGCGGTCACATGCACACCGTTAAACAGGTACAGACAAAACCAACACAAAATACAGTAAAATAAATTTTAAAATAAAAAAAAGGGACTCAGCAACACAATCAACAAGAAAAAGCATCCGAGTATGGGTGTGTGTGTGTGTGTGTGTGTGTGTGTGTGTGTGTGTGTGTGAAGTATCTGGAAAAGTATTAAACATTAAAACTTGTACTCATTGGACAGTAGAATTCTGCATCCTACCCCGCAATCTGCAAAAAAATCTGCCCAGGCAGGATGTGCCTACTGGTGCCAGAGTGACACAGCTCTTATGAGGGTAACTGGATTTCAGACACGGTCCACAAGAGGGGATTTCTACCTGGTGCTGCAAACCCAGTCACATCCCATGGCTGAGGAAGCCTTGGGCCCTAGGGGTTTTCTTTGGTGAATTGACATGGTGCTAGGCTCCCTGTTAAGTATGTTCAGAACTAAAGACAAATTCTCCCCCCAGTCATAATCAGGGAAGTCTCTCTTTGCAACAAGTGGAGGTGGGTTCAGAGCACAACTACTCATGATGCCGGGGAGATGTGCGGGGCTTTCTCCTGCTTTAGGCATAAACCAAACCCAAACACCTTTTTTTCACTTCTTTTCACCTTTGCCGTGTGGTGACTCATACCTCTCCTACACAGTAAGTGCCTAAGTGACAATCTATTCCCACCTATTTCTAGTTTGACTGTCGGCCCCTGTAAGGCCCAGGAGCATGGTGAAAGACAGGGAGGACAGAACGTAAGAACCTGAACATGGGGAGAAGGACTCTGGGTACAGCACTGCCTTTGCAGTCATGATGTCACAGCAGCTGTGGGGCCTGCAAGGTCTCCACACCGCACTTACCCTCCAACAGTCAAGCATGGATCAGGAAGTAGCTTACAAGGCACCACCTCTCTCTGCTGAACTATCAGCTACTGATGGGTACCTGGGAGGGTCAGCATGGTGTTCAGCTGTGTGCTGAATGAGCAGCCTGCCAGGATGCAATGAGTAATTCTAAACCCACAGTCACACAGATGATCCTGGTTAGAACCAATGTGTCTCAAAACGAAAGAAATTTCAAAGGATAAACTCAAAAACAGTTATATAAAAAACCCTGCATCATAAAAACATCAGCTTTCCCTGAGTCACTGCAGGAAGTTATCTTACACCGTCATTTCTCTCTCTGAAACAAGGATTTACAGCACAGAAAGAACGGTCCTCTCAGATTCTGATGGAAAATGCAACACCACCACAGCTGACCCTTGATTGACTCAAAATGACTCATCTACACAGGAAACAAATCAGCATCACCACAGAACAATACAGCAGCCAAGAAGCAGAAACGCTGGCAGGATGGTGAGCCAGCACTAAATGACAAAACAGTATAAATACTTAAAGACTGAAACAGCACCAAGTGGCTAGGTGCTACTCAAAGCTAGTCCCAAGGACAGGGGTCCTCAGGATACCGACTGCACCACCGTGTACTGATCAAGTCACACCTTTACCTCATGGAAACAGAGGAAGAATAATGGAATTCTGCCACTGTGTCTACACTGATATTTCGTAAAGTCTGGATTTAGCTAGTTGAGGGAGGAGGCAGGCAGGAAGAGGGAGAAATGAGAACAGTTATGTAACTTGTATTTCTTTGAGGAAACTGAGTACAGTTGTCTCCTTGATTTCTTTCTTTGTATGTTTTTCACTGCTATATAGAAAACCTACCCAGTTGCAGTGCTGACACTTTACCCTGCCAGTTTGTTGAAGGTGCTGACAGAACCGAGAATTTTTTGGTGAAATTTTTAGGGTCTTTTAGGAATAGAGCCATCACTTGAAAATAGGGAAGAATTGGGGACTGGAGAGATGGCTCAGAGGTTAAGAGCACTGGGTGCTCTTGTAGAGGGCCCAGGTTCAGTTCCCAGCACCCACATGGTGGATAACAACTATCCATAACTCCAATTCCAGAGGATCTGACACCCTCTTCTGGCCACCGTAGCCATTGGACACATAGGTGCACTTACATACATGCAGGTAACACATATGCACATGTAAAAATTTTTTTACAAAAGAAAAAAAGGAAGAATCCACCTCTGCCTACCCTATTTGTATCACTTTCTGCTGTTGTTACTGTGTGTTTTTTAGCCCTAGCTGGCCTGGAGGTCACTATGTAGACCAGGAGGCCTTTGCTTTCAGAGATCCGCCTGCCTCTGCCTCCTCAGTGCTGGGGTTAGAGACGTGCGCCGTCACGCCCAGCTATTTGTATCGCTCATTTCTTTTTCTTCCCTTTTACCTCACTGGTTAAGACTTCAAGGACTATATTGAATAAGAGTGGGGCGTTTGGACACCCTTGTCTTACTGATTTTAAAGAAAATTCTTTCAGTTTTTCCATATTTAGTGTAATATTGGATATAGGTTTGTGAAGACACAGGCATAGGTGAGAACTTCCTGAAAGGATGCCAATAGCTCAGGAAAGCATTCTCAGAACTGACAAAGACGATCCCATGAAATAAAAGCAGCACAGCAAAGGACAGCAAAGGGGCATCTTATGGAATAGGACAGATCTTCAAGAGCTACAGCAGACAGGGGATTACTAGCTTCACTAGTAATACTTAAAACATTAAGTATTAAATACCAAACCCCTCAATAATCAAATTAGTAGAGGAAAATAGAGAGCAGAACCTTCTCAAAGAAGGAAGCATACACATCAAATATAAATGAAAAATGTTCAATAATATTAACCAGAAAAAGAATGTAAATCAAAACTAAACCAAGATCAAGTTCATGCTTGTCAGAATGGCTATACTTAAAACCAAGCAACAAATGTTACTAAGCTATGGGAGAAAAGAAACACTTAGACGTTGCTGGTGGGGATGCAAACCAGTACAACCACACAGATATCAGTATGGAGGTCTCTCAAAGCAGTAAACATAAAGCTAGCACTCTAACCCAGCTTTTACAGAGACACCTGCTCCATCATGTTTACTGTGAGACACTGTTCACTATAGCCCAGTATGGAAGGAGACCAGACATCCATCCACAGGTGTAAAGAGGAAGAAAATGCCATAGACACAAAGAAGAATGAAAATTTGAAATTTCAGGAAAGTGGATGGAGCCAGAGATCACTGTTAAGCAAAATAACCCAGATTCAGAAAGGCGCACGTCACATTTTGTGCCACGTGTGGACTTTACATTTAGATTTATGTGACACACGCGCGCACACTTATGACATGAAAGTGGGTTTCTGAGAAGGAAGAGGACCAACCGGAGGAGGAGGGACAACAGGAGAGTGGAATACAAGTCACATCAAAGACAGGGACGCTGTGGAGAGCGAAGTGTGGAGTTGGGTTCCTTCTCCCCTGGTTTTGTCAACCTGTAAGTAAGTGCATTTCCTATAACAATCTGTTTCCTACTTTCTCTTGGAATACAGGCTAAACCAGGTGGTAGTCATGGACTTAAGTGTCTAGTTTACACAAAAAGCATGTGAAGGCTGTGAATGGTAAACAGGGAAAGGAGCTGCTTGCTTGTCCTACAAAGACCAAACTGCATAACAGAACAAGAAGTTCCTGAGGGAGAGGTGTGTGCTTGGAGAGCAGAGGCCTGGGAGGTGCCAGGGTTGCAGAGTCAGGGTCTCATCTGGGGAAGGTGTTCAGTCCTCAGGGCTTGGGCCACTCACCACACTTGCTCCAAGACCCCAAGACTGCAGTGAAGAGGGTGCCTCTCCTGGCCTCCCTTCAGCTCAGTGCAGTGCTCCCACATGGACTCTAACCTGCGATCCTATGGAAAGGGAGGCTGAAATCTACCTTCGTAGGTGCCAGACCTACGAACAGGAGCAGTCACATTTGATAGAAATAAAACGCTACATAACAGAGCCATGCCCACAAAAGAATACAAGGACTATGCTTGATAGACGCAGTCACAAAAACTTATTCATGAAAAGTGGTCCTTCACTGAACTAGCTACTTGGCCAAAACATAAAGATAGAAATAAGCACCCCGTCATAATCACAGTCCTTGTTTCTGTAACTGCTGGTGATTATCTGGGATTAGCTGCCAACTGCTTCTAGCACCCACCTGTATCCCCCAGCCCTCAGCCAATGTCCCTTGCAAGCCTCTCTCCACTAGGAGGTGACCTATACAGCTACCCTGGAAAGATCTAGGCTATTTGTGGTTCTGTTGCACTGGGTTGTCATAGAAGCACCAATATAAAAGTATATGATGAACAGGAGCCACACAGTATTAACATCTGTGTCCTGGGGCTGGAGAGATGCTCAGCAGTTAAGAGCACTGAGCTTTTCCAGAGGACCTGGGTTTAGTTCCCAGAATTCACATACCAGCTAACAACGGGTTGTACGTCCAGTTCCAGGGGATCTCACACCTTTTGGCCTCTGCAGGCACCAAGCATGAACGTTGTGCACTTACATACATGCAGGCAAAACACTTATATTCACATAATGTAAAAATATATAAAATCTTAAAAAAATAACAAAAGCGTCCTGTTCATTCTTGCCCTCCTTGTACTTTCACTAAAACGGTGCCTCACTAACATCTGCTTCTCCCTGCTTTCCCTGAAGAACTGCCCGTGCCTGCTTGTCAGTACTATAGCTCTTTGATCAGATCTCACTGCTAAGCAAATAATTTAAGTTTAACAAAGGGGGACATTTCTAGGGAAAAAGAAAGTTGTTTTTGTCTTGGAGCAATTATACTTCCTAACCATATGCAGGGAGGACATGTAGACACCGAAATAAAAAAGTTGACAACACAGAAACTAGAAATTGAAACATAAGAATAGACCTTAGGGACAAAAGGAGAGGAGGGAACAGAAGGCCCAGAAACAATCCTCCTTCTAGAGTACCGGATCAAGGCCTCTTGGTAGATTGGTAGTAATACCCTATGTAAGGCAACAGTAGGATGTTCCTTTCAGTGAGGTAAGTGGAGCTTGGTGTGCCTTTGTAGCGCACACAGGAATCAAGCTTATGATACAGAAGCTGAGGGAAAGGATCAACAGGTAAATACTTAGAAACTCAAACAGGAGGGCTGAATCACAGAAATGCTCCAGAAATGGGGTCGGCCAGAACACAAGGAGGGAAGAGAAGAACGCACCAGCAGTCAGGACAGAGCCTGACATGACGGAGTTCCAGAAGGTGACAGCAGTAGTTTGGAGCGTGGCAGAAGATCTGAGTAAGGCAGGCGGAAGAGAAGGGTGTCTGCATTTACCATAGCTTATGTTTTGATGAAGTGTGGAGAATGTGAATGACGGAGTTCCAGAAGGTGACGGCAGTAGTTTGGAGCGTGGCGGAAGATCTGAGTAAGGCAGGCGGAAGAGAAGGGTGTCTGCATTTACCATAGCTTATGTTTCGATGAAGTGTGGAGAATGTGAACTGAGAGTCAGCAGGAACAGCACGAACCAGAAATCACATTATTACCAGGAAGCCTATCTGTGGACACCGCTATAATCTACACATATACACAGCACAGAGGAATGAAGGAGAGTCGTTTAAGGACCTGTCTTCACACATTCCAGATCTCATCTGACGGCAAGTGCAGTCTGAAAGCCGTCTGGAACGACACAACTTAGCCCAGTCCAGAAAACCCTTCTGACTTGATCTGTGTTTTAGAACCACTGAACCTTCACCACTGCTGAATGCTGTGCATATCTTGAGGTTGGCAGTGAAGCAATGTCTACATCACGTGTGTCCACAGTCTGTTTAGACTTCATAGGTCATGAGAATTCACATCTTTTTCTTCCTGAGTCAATCCAACTCCTAGAAGAAACAGTCTTTTGTGCCACCACATCAGGAAAACCCGAGACCAATCTGCATGTGATTTAAGTCACTCTAAAAAAGGCCTTATAATGTTGCTGCATAAACATGGATGTTAGCATCTGTATGTATGTTTTATATTGTTTACTCTTTCATTCCAATTTTCAAAGCTCCTCCTAAATATGGTAACTGGACCACTTACCACAGATGCGTTCATTGTCCTAGCTCTTCCAGACAGAGAGGACAGTCCAGTCACAGCTGGAAGAGAAGGTGAACAGAAGTCAACACAGACTTGGTGAGCCTTGCTTGAGGATTCCATTCCAACGTGCAAAGAAGACTTCTACATAATTGCGGAGGAAAAAGCTCTAAGACAATAAAAATACCTCCCTATGGGGAAATGGTCCCTGACATTCAAGAACCGGCAGGACAGATCTTTTTTTGGTCTTTTTGAGACCCAGCTGTCCTGGAACTCACTTTGTAGACCAGGCTGGCCTTGAACTCACAGAGCTCCACCTGCCTCTGCCTCCCGAGTGCTGGGACTAAAGGTGTGTGCCAACCATGCCCAGCAGGACAGATCTTGTTGAAGGAGCACCAGTAACTTTATTAATTGGTAGAAAATCATCAATTTGTCCACAGGTTAATGAAATATTGCTGCTTGCTTAGTAACTATGGTATTATAAAGAATACAGTGTTTTACAGATACATGTTGAATGAGCTTATGGGATCATGAAAATGAATTTATAGGAAGGTAGTATTACCTAGGTCCCTGTCACTGCAGATGTACCACCCAGGACTCTGTATCAGTGTTCCACTAGCACTGGGCTTTACACGTTTACATTTCACAGAAAGCCTGCCTCATCCAGTCTAAACCATTTGGCCCAAGACAGAGGCAAAAGTGAACGCAAGGTATATTTACATTTTGGAAGCACTGCCTCACAATGACCTGCCGCTCTGCTGCTGGGAAGAGGAAACAACAGCTGAAGAATTTCCTATAGCAGACTGACCTGTGGGACTGTTTGTGGGGCCATTTTCTTGAGTGCTAATTGATGTAGGGGGTCCCAGTCCACCTGGAACACTGCCATCTCTGAGCAGGTAACCTGGGCTGTACAAAAAAGCTAGCTGAGCAAGCCAGTGAGCAGCCTTCCTGATTTCTACCTCAAGTCCTGCCCTGGCTTCCCTGGAATGTGGACTGTGAGCTGCGAGATGAAATAAACCCTAACCCTCCCCAAGTTTCTTCCAGTCCTGCTGTTTATCACAGCAACAGAAACCAAACAAGGCCACACCTTCAACAGACCTCTCTCCCACAGTTCCACTTGCTCTGGACAGTGGGGCATCAATAAATGTGATGGAAGCACAGTTTTTAATGGGTTTTCCCACTGGAACTTGCTGGGATGACAACTTTATTACTACACCCACTAATACACCAATTTTTGAAAACAGTATGAAGGTCTTCAGAACATTAAAAGAAAAGCTGCCACACGCTCCGGGAACCCCAATTCTGGGGGCAGATCCAAAGGAGCTGGACTCACAGTATGGAGGAGCTGCCCTCGGTTAACACTGCTGTGTCATGGCTTTTCCTGCAGACATCCCAGGTCTCCCACGGCCCGCTGGAGTCAGTGCCTTAGGACAGGCGCCATGGCGTGCAGCGCTGACGCCTGTCAGTGGTCACTGTGGAGGAGCTGTCAACAGTCTTGTCACAGGACCCCCACGCGGGCTCCCAGCCAGTGCTCCTGCTCAACGCCCCACCCCTCCAGGGCCTTACAGAGCTGGGTCCAGGGTTCCCAGTGCCTTCCTCTCCTATGATGCGCTCACAATCACATCCTACAGCCACCATCTGCAGGGTTCCTATGAACTGCAGACAGCCGGGTGGGGGGAGGGCGGCGCTCAGGAGCGGCAGGAGGGGGATTCGGGAATCTGAGCGGACCCAGGAGCCCCGGGCCCAGGAGCACTGGACATAGGAGCACCGGACCCAGGAGCACTGGACCTAGGAGCTCCGGACCCAGGAGCACTGGACATAGGAGCACCGAACCCAGGAGCCCCGGACCCAGGAGCCCCGGACCTAGGAGCCGTGTACCTAGGACACTGGACCTAGCAGCCCCGGACCTAGGAGCACCGAACCCAGGAGTCCCGGACCCAGGAGCCCTGAGCCGGGGCAGGCTGAGCTCAGCTTCCTGCACAAGACCGACGGATGCCTGGGAGCTGGGCCCCGCACCGGTCCCCCCGTCCCCGCACTGCTCCCCCCCCGCCCGCACACGCCCTGGCCGGTCTCAGCGGCAGCTCATCTGTCCCGCGGCTGCACTCACCGTCCCTCCCCGCATCCTCCTCCCTGTGGCTCTCCGCAGTTCCGAGGCCTGGGCCGGACTTGGATGAAAACCGGAAGCAAGATGGCGGCGCGGGAGCCATACCGGAAGTGCTCTGGCTCTCTCCCGGGTCTGCTCCTGATTGGAAGCTCCCGAGCCTCCGCGCTGCCGACCCGGGCGGGACGAGGTCGCGGACCACAGGCTGCAGCTGGCCGGGTTAGGGCCCCCGTACCCCGCGCTCAGTCCCACCCGCTGGACTCTGTGACTTTACGTCTAACAGCAGACGTGAGCCGCACGTCTGCGGATCTGTGGACAGTCTTGATTAGGTAGATCAAAGATGACATTCCTGTTTTGCAATTTGGCCTCGGACCTAAGAGATGTTCCTTTGGTTGCCTGTTTCTCTTGCGGTGGAGATGCCATGAAACAAGTATGGAAGTTAAATTGAGTGTTTTGGCTAAAATGGACAGGTTAGGAACACTGAGCCAAGAGAAGTGCCTCACCTGGGTAGGACATAAGCAGCTGATGAGAAGAGAGGAAGACAGGACTGAGACCAAACAAAGCCTTCCCCACCTCCCCCCGCCCCAATGGACAAGGACACTGTTGCTGGTTCCTATATTCTTTTTGTTTTTTGAGACAGGGTCTCACTATGTAGCACTGGGTGGCATGGAATTCACTGAGATCCACCTGCCTCTGCCCCCAGAATGCTGGGATTGAAGGTGTGTGTCCCCACACTGGGCTGGCATATTCTTCTAATGCATCTAATTGCAACAGACTAAATGGTGGGTAGGGACAGCTCTAAGAAACCTTCACCTGTTCCAGGAATGAGACCATCCCAAGTCACCCAAAAGGCAATTTTGTAATGCTGCTCCATTTGGGTTGAACTATGACTATTGTAGTAACTACAGTAATTTGGTTTCTAGAAGCAAAGTAAGTTGCTTTCTTAAATTCTTGGCTTCCAAGCCAGATGTGGTGGTGCATTCCTTTAGTCTCAGCACTCAGGAGGCAGAGGCAGGTGGATCTCTGTGAGTTTGAGGTCAGCCTGGTCTACATAGTGAGTTCCAGGTCAGCTAGGGCTACAGGGAGACCCTGTCTCAAAAAGACAAAAACAAAACAAAACAAAAACCCCCAAAACAAAAATTCTTGGCTTCCCTGTCCTAGGGACATGCAATACCAGTCAGCCATGAGAGGTGTTTATGGATCCCCTAACATTCTTTAACTGACTACTCACTAGTCAGACTAGCAGTGGACCCTTCTTCCCTTCTGCACTATAATTACTCCAGCTTGTAAGTGCTGAAGGTGGGCTCTGATTCAGCTGTTGTTGCTCATTAAAGATTTATTAATATTTATTTTATATATGTTTTGCCTGCATGTATGTATGTGTACTACACATGTGCCTGGTACCCATAGTGGCCAGAAGAGGGCATTGGATCCCCTGAAACTGGAGTTAGAGATGGTTGTAAGCCACCATGTGGGTGCTGGGAACTGAACCCAGGTCCTCTGCAAAAGCAGCAATTACTTTTATATCCTGGTCCATTTCTCCAGCCCCTATGCCCTCTGATTCTTATAGAGTCTGCAAGTTCTTCCCCCCCGCCTCCCATCTGCCCCTCATAACTTTTCATCTTGAGTGACTCCAACAGCGGCCACCTCTCCATTGTGCCCCTCACCACCCCACTGTCTGCTTCAACACTGAGAGATTTTTTTTCTCTTCTCTGGAAACTTTTCCTTTCTAATCTTCTACCAGACAGACTTCTCTGAAACTCTGGGGCCAGATGGAAGTTTCCCACAGACTGAACTGTTCACCTTCCTTGAGAGGAGTAGTGAAAATCTCTCTCTTCTCACCAGGTCCTTTTACTGGACAGAGCCACGAACAGAGCCTCTTCCTTTAAGCCTGTTTACTGTCAGGAAAAAAAAAATCAACTTTCTGCCCCACTCCTCACACCCATGAGCCAGAACTGGCCTGGCGGCACTATTAGCATGTCATTTTTTTTCTGTTGTAACAGGGCCTGGCCGCTGTACCCCTGGATAATGGCTACCACTAGCCAAGGGGTGACATATTTGATGTTCAGATTCAAAAGAATGTTAAGTTAATGTAATGGGATGTGATCTGAGATTTCTTACATTCAAGTCTTTGTCTATCTTGGGTTCTTTCCTTCAGCAGGACATTTGATAGGTTTTTAAAACCGTCAGCTGCTCCATGTCAACATGTTCTGGAATGCAGGAGGGCCTTGTGCAAACAAAAGTTTTACAAGGTGGGAGAGGATTAAAAGAATTTTTGTTTTGTTTTGTTTTGTTTTTTTGAGACAGGGTCTCCCTGTAACCCCAGCTGGCTTGGAACTCACTATGTAGACCAGGCTGGCCTTAAACTCACAGAGATCTGCCTGCCTCTGCCTCCCAAGTGCTGGGACTACAGGCGTGCTCCACCACGCCCAGTTGAGGATTAAAAGATTTTAATTTCGTGTTGTAAACAAAAGTTTTACAGTGCTTGCTGGAATAGACTAATATTTAATGTTTCTTACTTCCCTACTCATCCTGACCCACCTTTTAGGTTCTCCTTCTGCACAAGAAACCTCCCAGCCTGCCTCCTAAATCTGACCCCCTAATTTTCCATGTTCTTTATAACCACAAAAACTGCCTCCTCTGCCAAATGTATGCTGCTTTCCAAAACCTGTTACTAAAAATCTACTTATCCAAAATAACATCTTTCCTCCAGCTAAGGAGCAACTGCTGTCTTGGGGAACTTTCCTTCCTAGCAAAATCTGCTTCCTAATCAAACTCCCAGGTCTAATCAGATGAGGGTCAAGTTCTGTGCTCTGGCTCCTTCTCCCACGGGGACACACATGCTGGCTTGTGGCTGCTACCTACTGCCCGTCTGAGAGCTTCTCTGCCAGATCTTCCCATTTCCATCTGCTTCCCCATCCCCTTCACTCAGGCACCTGGCCTGGATGTGCCTCCAGGGATTAGTCAGCAAGAAACCCACCATACCTTCACCTGCAGTTTCTCCCAACCAGACTGCTAGCTAGATCACAGCATGTGTTAAATTTTCAGCCCCTCCGAATGGTAAGCCCCTCTCTTGCTGACGTGAAAGCACTCCTTAGCGCCCAGTGCCCTTGTTACTCCGTGTTCAGGCCACAGACTTCCAGACTGCTCTGTAGTCTGCAGGAGTGCCTTCAGCTGCACCTTTTCTTTCTAACTTCCTCCTGCTGAGTTGAAGTGCTGGCTTACTGTTTCTTGCTGTGATGTGGATAAAAGAAAACTGCAAATTACAACTGTGTCAAGAAGCCCCTCTTCACATCTGAACTTGGAATCCATAGGAAGAGTTGAATAGTCAGGAGGGAGAAGTGATAGAGACCCTTACTGAAGTCTGGCCTTTAATACAGAAAGAAAATTCATGATTCAGCATGTGGAAGGGGGTTTTAATCATGACTCAGTGCAGGAGACCCTGACAGTCAAGGGCTGTAAGCAGGTATATAGCCTCTTAAGTCCCTGAATTAGGGTGCCCAATGTGGAAAGACTTTCAAACAAGAAATGAAGGAGCCCCTCACAGCCTGGCCATGAGACTGTGGGACATGAAAACAGATGGGAACTGTTTGTATCCTGTGAAGTTGGAGAAACCAGTGTGATGCCTACCCTTCCTTGAGTGAGGGCTGCATTATCTCAGAAAATACAAGGGAAATCAGACCCCTACGAGCCATTAGTGATGCTTTGTTATCACCAGTTGGGGTCCCCTTGAATATCAGGGAGAAGACAGCAGCAGGGAGACAGCTATGGTGATGTTTAATGGGACTGTGCTCACATTAACTAGGAAAGAAGTTAATTCATCAGGGATCTTGGGACTAATATGCAGCTTTAGCTGCTTTGCTGGGACCCATGGTTGGCCATGATCTCTAGGAGGTGAGAGAGACTTAGGGGATCTGAGTGACTTAAGCCAATGTAGAAATCAGTTTCATTATGTATTAAAACAAAGGGAGGTTTAATACAGAAAGGCAAAGCAGCAAATGTGTGTGGGTTACTTGAATGCAGATGTGCCAAGATCTGTGCCAAGTTGGAGAGGTATGAATACACGATGCCCAAAATATAGATGGACAGGTTAGTGCCTTTCAACAATATCATTATTTATTGGATAAAAATAAATTTCCAAGCGATGTCAGTTTCCTTGGCTGAAACTTGGTAACTAGTCTCCATTTTTCTCGATAGTTGGACATTGACAAAGTGGGCTCTTTTATTCTAACTAAATATTGTCCCTGACAGCCCATATTACACAGTACTTATATTTCTGGGTCTATGTAAATTCAGTGTGGCTACCATAGGGTTGAAGAGGCTGCAGCAAAGTTCAAGGAGTTCGCACAAGCCTTACCAGAGGCGGAGATTTGTTACAGCTACAAGAGGGTCACTGTATGTGGTTAAATATTAAAACCCAGCTGGAGGTGCTGACTGAGGACTGTGCATGCGGGAAATTCTCCACGAGGGCGCTGCATAAATGGTGGAGGACCTGGCCTTAATAGATGATGAGTCCTCCCCAGAAGAGCTCCAGGGAAGTTGAAACTCTTAGGCCTGTCAGCACTGACAAAGATCTGCTGATTTTCTGGCATCTGGAAGTAAAAGGCGAGGCAGTAAGGGAAACCAATAACCTGGAATCTGAGCACTACTGAGAAGCAGTCTCCAAGAGGGTGAGCAATGTTCTGGTCTGCAAAGCCCGATGGCATTAGTTACTGTCCCGTTGTGACAAAATACCTGGCAAAAGCAACTTTTAAGAGAGAAGGATGAGTACAACAGTCTGAGGTGATCTCTCTGTCATGCAGGAAAGACATGGTAGCATGTGGGAAGGTGCAGCCCAGGAGCAGGGAGCCAGACGCTCTCACCGTGTCCAGGCAGAAAGCAGAGGAGACGGGTACTCAGCTCTCTTTCTCCTTTGTATTCTGCCCAGGACTCCAGCCCATATTGATGCCAGCCATAGTGGTCAGGTTTCCCACCTCAACTAACCTAGAGGTAATTCTAGATCTCATCAAATTGCCAAGATTAACTGTCACACTGACCAAGGGAGCTCAAGGACATGGAAACTTTCATGATGTCTAATGACCCCTCAGGTCTCTGGACAGCTTCTTGCTAGGAGCTCAAAGAGAGTTTGGATCAGGGTGCTCACAGCCCATGTAAGGACTGGCCAGTGGTATTTCACTAGCCCCAGTGAAAGAGAGCTTAGAGATGCCTGGCTTCTTTTCACCTGATACGAGATGCCCACTGTAGCAGGGACCCAGACTCTGGGTCCCTGGTTGGAATCCCAGGTTTCTTCTTTTGCTGTCTCTGGTTTCCCATTGATGAAATAAGTAATTTTGAGTAATTATGTCGCCACGCCGAAGGGTATATGGAGTAAAGAGAGCAGAAAATATGTCCGCAGCATCTGCCTGGCACAAGGCTTCCTGGTAAAGATAGTGAGAGTGAGACATTTAGGGTCCAGCGGAGGCTGTAAGGCATCAGTCATCTTGGGCTGTGGGCAGAGCTGTCAACAAGACATCTAACCAGTGCCCACCCCAGCAGGATGCTGGGGCTTTGAGGCTGTTGAAGGTCTCAGCAAAGCTGTCCCAGACACTGTGGCCAGGTCTCAGGACGGCATACCTTACTAAATAGCTAGTGTAACTATCCAGTTCAGTCACATGGAGAAGTAGACTTAGGTTCATTACAGAGGGGCCACTGCAGGATCCCAGAACAGTAGACCAGGGACTGAGGAGCAGCTCCCTCTGCTTTCTAGCCATCATGGCCCCTCTCCTAGGCCATCTTGGATCAGTCTAAGGTTGGGGCTCAGGAAATGCCCAGCACTGGAGGCAGGCATTCTGGAGCCGCATGTGCAGGGCCTGTTACCTACCTCTCCCTCAGCTCCACCTACCGCTGGTCATGTTCTTCCTTGGGGACAAAGTGATAGAGTCCTGTTGTTTACTGTAACCATGGTCAGCATATTGCTCTCAGGCTCCGTGCTACTGCCCTGGGCGGAGAGGGGCAGCAAGGTTAATGGGAGCCTGCACCACGGTGGTCTCGATTCCATGTCCACAACACTGTGATTAGGACAGACAACAAAACTGACCAGTGAGTTATCTAGGGCAAGGCTGAGTGGAATTTCGAAAACCTAGAAGCATAAATCTAGACAGCAACCCCCAGTAACGGTGTCAAGTTCATAAAGAACATGGACTTATACTCTTCAACCTTCCACTACAGATACTCATTCTCCCTTCCCTCCAGCCCTCCATTCTGGCTGTGTCTTTGTTTTTTAAAGGTACCAGCTTGCTCCCTGTCTCCATGGCCTGTGGGTACCCTCATAAGTTAAT